AACCAACCATGTTCGACATCTTCACAGCCTATATGAGTGGCTACTTTAATATTGCAGATACAGTAAAAGTTTGTGCAAATATTCGGCTGAATCAACAGGTTGATGTGGAATGATTAATAAACTCTCGAAACCAACAACCTCGTGAGCGTGGGAGTTTTGAGCAGCGTATCATGGAGGACGCCGGAACGCCACCAGCCGCCGCCTTTCCAAATGAAGATTTGCGCCTTTGCCCTCTCACCTCAGATGCCTTCTTGAACAGCACCTTAAGGAACTACTTAAACCACAACCAGTAGGCCAACAATCATCGACAACATCCGAAGCAAACAACAGTTCGCGAGTGAAGACTCCGTTATACTTGATACACCATGATTGATGGGTGGCTGTGGATGGACAGACACGGATGTTGCACGGACATAGTCGTTTCGACTTGATCACTGAGTACGAGACCGAACGACGAGGAAACACAGAAATCACATGGCGCCAGGGGAATGTGTTGTCGTTTTGATCCAACGAGCAGTTTCAGCAAGTGCCTATAACACTTTCCGCCCTCTCTACAATCAACGCGCACAACTCTCTCTCTTCTACTTCAGTGCGCGCAAGTGCCATGGCGGCGACATACCCTTCAGGCGTACACCGCCTCCTGCGCGTCCCCGCCCCGTTCGACACCACTTTTTCGCTCGTCACATCGCCCGTAGTCTCACCCACGGTCCTAGCCATCGTCCGACTTACTCTGGCAGTATACGGCACCATATTCATACTCGCTCGCCTCCTATACGAAGGTATCATACTGCACACCGACAACTCGTACGTCTCTCTTTCCTTCGCCAAGCGCGTCCTCCTCACTCATCCACCCACAGGTTCTTCGCCTACTTCACCACCCTCTCCTACGTCGGCCTCATCTCCTACTTTTGGGCCACAGGCGTCCAAACCCTCCTCTTCACCTTCTGCCACCACACCTCCTACCCCCTCCAACACTGGCCCCGCCCCCTCCAATTCCTCCACCTCCTCCTCCACTCCACCATCACCACCCTCCCCATCCTCGTCACCATCATATTCTGGTCCCTGCTCTCCTCCCCCTCCACCTTTTCCACAAGATACGACGCTTGGATCAACATCAGCGAACACGTGCTCAATACCGTCTCTGCCGCGTTCGAGATCCTCTGCACGAACGCCACTCCTTCCTCCCCCGCATACCCACAAGGCGTAAACCTCCCTTTGATTCACCTCCCCTTTATCCTTCTCATCCTCGCAGGGTACCTAGGCGTGGCGTACATCACCAAGACAACTCAAGGGTTCTACAGTACGCCCTTTCTCTCTCTCCCTTTACCCCTAAATTCTCGTTTTTTTTCTGTCTTTCGTTTCTTACCAGTCGTGTTTCTCATCGTTAACCCCCCCCCCCCCCCTCCAGCATACAGCTTCCTCGACCCCTCCACTGAACACGCCAAACTCGCAGTCTACATCGTCGGCGTCGCCCTCGCCGCCACAGTCATCTTCATCCTCGTCCGCTACATCTGCGTCGCCCGCTCGTGGCTTTTCCATCGAAAAGCCCGAGGAGGGGGAGGAAGAAGACAGGTGTCAGAGGAGGAGGAGAGAAAGGAGGAGGAGGAGGAGGACAATGAGAGGAAGAAGAAGAAGAAGAGGGGGGCAGGTGGTGGATCAGACGAGTGGGTAGAGGTTAGGGTGCTGTCGCGTGCGAACGAGGCTGCTGTATGATGTATTTTTGGGCTACTGGGCGGTGGGAGTATTATACTTAGACTCATCTTCGGTGTTGTCGACGCGTTTATCTATTATTCCGTCGAGCATCTCATAGCTGCTTGAGATTGCTCTGTACAAACGCATAGGTGACGACAATTATATACTTGTTGATGCATTATCGTGCCCAGATAAACGCTGAGGTCATTATCTAATATACGGCCGCTCACCAATCACCTTGTCTTGACACAAGATATGTCGAAACACGGACATAACCCACGAACTTGAACATTACCAACTGCGCTCACCTCATGTCGATCCTATCCAAAGTTTCTGGCTTTCAATAATGGAGAAAAATGAACAAAGTCAAGATAATACCTCATTACTTGACAAAATACCCGAAACAGAGTTTTACGCTACATACTCCAAGCCACTACTGGACGTTGAACGCTAACTCCAACCACACAGAAAAGACAGGACGGCCCAGTGCGTGTACGACTAGGACCACTTCAAAACGAATCGACAAAGTTCAAACGAATGCAGCGTAGCTATAGCGTTCAACCCAGAAAGTCCAAAGAAAAAGTTCGAGCCAACCCCCACCAAAACTTTACAGAACCACAATGCTCCTGCGCTCACCAGAACGCACCTACGACGAAATCATCCCCCGCCTTGACAGCGGGCTTGTGCTCGTCGCGCTTGACGTTCAACAGATCGGCCAAGACGTTGAACATGCTCGTGGACGAAGACGACTCGAAAGCTTCGGACCCGGACTTTTTGCAGGTCAGTCGAGCTTCGTCAGCCTCCCAGCCACTCTGGCACGACTCGACGACGCAACGACCGGAAACGCATGATACGGAATCGACATGCGCAATGCTTCCGCAGTCGACTCCGACGGGTGACGAGGACGAAGACGAGAGGAAGGGGTTGGGAATCACGCAACCACCGCCTGCATATGAATATTACTCATGAGGAACAATGGCTGGAAGAGAGGTACACTTACAGCTTTCCATGTTTTTCTTGGTATCCACGCAGTCATAGTCATACGCTGAGCCATCGTAAACCCCACAAACCTGGTCACAGAGAACGTTAGATCCTCTGCTTTCACAAGAATGGAATGGCGTACCTCTTCGTGGGCCCTGCACTCTGAACGGGCATTCTGGTACATGTTATCCCGGTGAGCACGTCGTTGCACTGAAGCAGAGCTGCAGACCTGTCAAACGCAAAGCTTAATGTTATCGTTCGTCCTAATAAGAAGAGACTCACGCCACCGGGAGCAGAGATACATTGACCGTTGCACAGCGTGTACGGAGCCTCGCACGCGCACTGGTCGCCGACTTTAGTGTAGGGAGCATTACACGTGAAGCCGCAAGGATCAGTCGATGAGCATATAGGAGTCGAGAACTCTGGGTACGAGCAAGACTGCTTGTTGGAAGACAGGTCGATCTAATGACCAGTCATCAGCGGGGGTTTAGGGAGACGGACGGCGCACATAGGCCTACCAAGAGTTCCAAAACGGCGTTGATAAGAGGGGCACCGTACTTGTTGATGAGAGCGTCGAGCTGCAGGCTCAGGCCGAGCTTGAGTGGGAACGCAGAAAGACACAGGCAGAGGTCGAGGCCGAGGAGATCTTTGAGTGGAATGCCCAAGATTTCGCTGTTGCCGAGGATAGTGTCGGTGTTGATGCTGGCGCAGACGTCGAGCAAAGGAGCACGGGTTTGAAGGTAGTGGAACTGGCGAGCAGTGATCAGTTCGGACGCACGACGGGAGAGTTCGCTGTCAGAGCGAAGAGGGAGTGTCTTGGTACTGCGAGCGACGACGGTGCGACCGAAGGCGACGTTGGTGGCGGCCAAAAGAGTCATGAGAGCGGTGGAGACACGCATCTTGTCAAACTTTTGCGTCTGGACGAGGGGAGATGGCGGAGGCGGGAGGAAGAGGTCGACTGGGGAGGGGATATGGGACGCGGCAGATTGCAGATTATATATGTTTCCCTCCGGAAGGGGATAGAAGTTGTGACATTTGACACGCACGCCGAGGCTTCAAAGTTGCGAGCTGGGTTCACGTCACCTTCCGCATTGGGACGGACTTTTGCCTTTTCTAGAATAGTGCCTTCCCTGGCTTCGAATTCTTTTCTTCGACGTTGACGAGCGACGGAGGTCGCCATGACTGCACCGACTTCGTAGAGAAGCGAGGCACTTCCAGCAAGAGAGAAAGAGAGAGAGAGAGAGTCAAAAAACACAGCGACGGATTAGCGGCTCTGTCGTCGGGATGCTTGACGCGCAGCTGCTGTCGACTGACAGTGAAGACGTTTCAAACTGCGGACATGAACGCGATCACACAGAGAAGACTTACGCGAGAGACGGCCGGCCCCAGCAGTTTGGAAGATCCTCGAGTCGCACGTAGCTATCCCTGGAATACCATGCTCTTCTCCATGTCCATCAACAAGTCTTGCATCGACGCGGACATAGCGTGGTGAGAAACACATCCTTTCATATCCTAGAACGAGAGGCGTGAGATGCCGTTTGCATTTGAAAGTATGCTGGAACCTTTTGGCGAAATTGCTCAGGGCACATTGCACGATGCCGACCGACGTCACGGTCGGGTGTGGTAGCGACGTCCAACTTCAGTCTCCACCTGCATAAAGAAAGCAACATGCAACGGTCAGGACAAAGCGGACTGTGGCGTACGAGTGCCAATGGACCATACCATGCGTTTGTCGGGGCCCTGCAATGTTACAAGTTTTGTGCATCGAGGCGAGGACGGAGGGGTGGCATGACTCGGAAGCGAGACAAATTATTGCTTTGATGCCAAACGTCAATGCATACCGCCGTCTCCCGTCTTCGACATCGTGCTTGTTAGCCGTCCCTGTCCAATGATTCCGGCGCACTAGATGCGTAAGATCCCTCATAAATCTGTACACGTTGTGCGTGATCTTCGGCGGGCGACGTTGGGGAGTTCTTCGCTCACAGTTTACGGCGCAAGCGTCGATGCAGTTGATGCCCGCTATTGCAGACAAGTCTTTCTCAGGTTGACCGTGAGAGCTACATTATGTAGCGCTAGCTGGGCAAATACCCGCCCCTCTGCATTAGTTTTTCGGGTTTTATCCAGAGACCATATGCTAGTCCGGCTCACGTCGCAGTGATCGTCCGTAGCTCATTGATTATATTCCATGAATAGCATGGCTGCCAGAGATCAACTTAAGCCAGCCATTGCAACTTTGCTTTGTACAAAGTAGTACAAAAACGTCTGACACTGGAATATACCGGGCTAAACATAACATACCTAAAACATCATGTTTGGCAAGTTATCAATCCCTGGTAGTATATCGGTTAGTACACGCGCCTGTCATGTCGGGGTTCGCGCGAAAGCGGGGTTCGACTCCCCGCCAGGGAGTTTATTTTTTTCGCTTCATTTTCATGTACTGTGATGGGACATCTTTTGCAAACTGGACAACATTTGATAATCACATTCCTGCCGCTTCCGCATTATTGTTTTCGTACCGGGAAGAGTAGAATTACACGTGAACACTCATCACAGACATAGCTGTCTACTTTTCTAAATATTCAAAGGGGGGATGCGGGCTACCGAGTGTTACCGGTGTTTTTTTTGTTCTCATTGCTACATCATATCTCTCAGATCCCAGAGATGTCGGCCAGTGGTCTGCTCAAAAAGCTTGGTGGTAACCTTTCTGATAGTATTGTATACACTTGTAAGCCTTGATTTATAGTTGGTGCACTCAATCGAGCTAGAGAGACAAAGTTGTGAATCTGCGTGACCAGCAGAGCGAGCAGAGTGACACTGATTCAAAGTCCGATTGATGCAGACTTCATGATGTCTGCGCAGTGGCCATGGATTCAAAGTCTCCAAATGACCACTTTTAATGTACCAAGTGGCACTGCGGTGGATGCGTGAAAATTACAATATATATAATACAATATTGCGGTGTTGTGACTTTGTCCACGGAAGACACGTCCCTTCATACGCGGCCTCCAGCTCCTACCTGAACGTATTGACGCGACAATGCCAAAGGCGAAGGCATTGCGTGTCGATAAAGTTCGTCAAAAGGTGGGACAGGAGGCCCGTATTGAGGAGGGCTGTCGATACTTGCGGCGACAGAAGAATGTCACCATGTTCGCAGCTGCCACTCGATTTGATGTCGACTATCAAACATTCCGTCGTCGCTATAAATTCCTCAACTGTCCGGCCAGAGTCGCTCAAAAGAAGAAGCGGTTATTGTCGTTGCCGCAGGAAGCCGTCTTCGTAACATGGCTGTGTTTCTGGGCAGCCCAAGGAACACCTGTCAGCCAACAGGGAGTGCGGGTGAAGGTTGAAAAGTTGTCAGGAAAGTTACCGAGCTTGAAGTGGGTTGCCAGATTTCGCAAAAAGCACCCTACCCTTGTTTGTGCCAAATCGGCACCATTGGACACAAAGCGCGCACGATGCTTCAACTCGACCGCTGTCGACAGGCATTTCGAGGACTTCCTGGCTGTTCTGCGTAGCGAAGGGCCGTTTAAAGCTCGGAACATCTATAACATGGACGAGAAGGGTGCACAGATGGGTGGTGGCAGGAAGTCTAGCGGGATCAAGTACTTCTTCTCACGTGCAGATTGTGCACGGTACAAGAAACGCAGCGCCGACCTTGAGCTGGTGACGATTATTGAGTGCGTCTCTGCAGATGGAATAGCACTCGACCCAGGCTTTGTCTTCAGTGGAAGCACCTTTGATATGGATTGGTTTGCACCTCGTACAGATCATCCAAACATCTCGTAAGCATCGCTCTGCTGTAATTGTCCAAGTGACTCACCAATGCAATTGTCAATAGAGTCGGCAGGACCGAAAACGGGTGGACTGATGACTTTCAAGGTCTTCAGTGTTTCGAGAAGACATTTACTCCGCAAGCTCGTGCCCGCGCAGGAAATCCAGAGGAGCTGATTCTACTTGTTGTTGATGGACACGGCTCGCATTGCACGGGTCAGATGGCTGAGCTCGGCCGTGCACATAACATTCACCTCTTCCGTCTCCCTCCGCATACTACCCACAAACTCCAACCTCTTGATGTCGGATGCTTCGGACTTCTGGCTAAGAAGTGGTTAGAGCAATGCAAGCAGGTCATCGAGGAGACTGGTGAGAACATTGCCCGAGGAGACTTTGTTAGTGAATACCTTGCAGTGCGTGACAAATGCATGTCACCAGCAGTCATTCTGGCATCATGGAAGAAGACTGGTCTATCTCCTTTTGACGCACATGCCTTCACCACCGACGACTTTGCTCCTAGTAATGTCACATCAACTCGCGCGCACATGCCAGACTCTTTCCCGACACCAACTGTACAACACCCTGTGGACAGCGGCTTCTGTGATGACAACTTCTACGACGAGGGTGACGATGAGGCGGACGGGAACCTGTCTCACTCAGAATCTGCCCCTGATGATGCAGCTGCCAATGACACGCTCAACGAGGAATCACTTCGTCCAGAAGTCCCACGCAGCAACAAAGTCATCAGCCATCAGTCATCGCTGTCTCCTTCCACTTCTTCGCACGTCGCTCCTCACCCTGCACCATCTTCCTCCTCCTCTTCCACTTCTCCTCCTCATATGACTGTCCCTACTCAGACTATTGTGCCTCCAATCCCCTCTGCATCATCCCGCTCGAACTGCAATATTGGCAACCTCATCCGGCTTGACGTGCGGTTGTCCAAAGCATGACTTGTTGAATTAGCCAACGAGAACTACCGGTGCGCCATAGAAGAGATCAACAAGGTTCGAGCGCAGGCCGAAACGGCAGAGACACACTGTCACTTTGCTCGTGAGGAGAACAAGAAGTTGAAGAATCAGCTGAACGCTCGCGAAAACAAGCAAAAGCGCCGCACGCTCAAAACTCACGTAGCTCACCTTACGGGCGATGAGGCGCAGATGCTTTGGGATCAGCAGGCTGTCAAGGGCCGCGCACGGGCAGAGAAACAGGCTGCTAAGGAGCAGGCGCACACTGAGAAGGTGTGTACAACACAGCGCCGCCGTGCTCACCTTATACAGCAAGGGTCCGGACTTCGTTTCGACACACCGCTGTCTCAGTGCAAGCGAGATGGCGTCGAAGATATTGTCATCATCCTTGGGATGACTATTGACAAGTCAGACAGCATGAAGACGCTTCGCGCACGCATCACTGCTCACTTTGACACCCATCCGGAACAAAAGCTCGATCCACGTTTTGCCGATCTTTTCCCCCGTGCCTCAGGACGTCGTCGGCGTACAGCTGGAGGTAGCGAGAATGTGATTACAGCCGCAGACCTGCCACCAGTCCCACTCGAGCCAACTCAGCTCTGGCATTGGCCATCATCCGAGTCCACACCTGCGGGAACTGGTAGCGACACTATCCTATTACCATCCACACCAACTAGATCTTCACGTAACCTACCTCCCGCTCAGCGCATTCCCCTCTCTCCGACCTCGAACAGCTCCCGTGTTTATCAGCAGACCCCGAGTCGCTATCACCCTTGCTTGATGGCTATGCTCGCCCCTCATAGCTGATCTTTACAACTCCATTATCTTTTTATTTGTGTATATTGTAGCTTACTTCGTGTACATACTTACCACTTGTATAATGTCTGGCCATCTCCGTTGTCAATTCACCCTTCCGTTGTCTCCGTACGAGGTGTGACACCGCGCTGGACGACAGGCGCTTTGGTACATGCCAAACGCAGTTTGAACCTGCCGACGTGACGATCTAATCAATCTGTGACGAAAAACTGGACAATTTTTGCAAAACCTCGTGTTTCGACGCCGGCAACGTTCCGCTCGTCGTACAGCTCATTCAACGCTCACGAAAACCTTAGGAAAGTGTCATTAACTCAATAATCTAGCTTTTCATCAAGAATCATAATTTTCAGGTGAGTGGCTGATGAGATATTGAATTGATACTCATAACCGTTTGCAAAAGTTGTCCTACTACAGTATTGTAATGTGCGCAGAATGCTTTACAATATGCTACATGCTTTGTAAAAAGTAGTAAAAAAATGTCTGGCACTGGATTTTGCCGGGCTAGCCATATCAAACTTGTAATATTCTGTGAGGCAAGTTACCAATCCCTGGTAGTATATCAGTTGGTACATGCGCCTGTCATGTTGTAGTACACATGATACTCTTCAGCTGTGTCTCGTCCTTGTGTGCACCTGAAGTTAAACTTGACCACAACCTCTATCTGCATTGACATTCTTGGCACAATCTTCTTTGGTGAGCCCATCAATAGCATACATCTGCACGGCATTGGTCATGTTACAGACACGGAACCTCTGTAAGGCGGCACCAGATACTGGTATATGTGCACACATCCAAAATATCTACTGAACAAGCTCAGCCCTGCCTATGGATATTCTCATACCTGCTTTCTTCGAGTATCTCAGACAGATTGGCCTTTCTAGGCAAAGGCAATCCGCCAAAGCAGGGTGCTTTCTGCTCATTGAACCTGCTCTTGACATTTTGGACTTTGGTAAGGCGCATATATGCGGGTTGAACATGTGACAAACAACCGTTTCTACATCCAGGCATAATGGATAACTTCTGTTGTGGTATATCAGCTACAAACACACCAGCACTCTCCTCAGGTACAAACTCAACTGGTGCGAGCATTCACAGTCACTCAAAGTGACCTCACCAGAAGCAACTATGTCCAACCACGGGGCCAGTGCAGGGGGCACTCCAGGTTTTGGCTCTTTTCCATTCACTGGTCCCTACCAAGGCAAAGGTTTTGGTATGGGTGCCCAAGGCAGTACTGGTGCTCACGGCGCATATGTTTAAGACTACTCTCCTTACTACATTCCAGGCTTCCCTATGCACCAACAAGAGGACAGACACATATATGTTCATGACCCTGCTCATTATTATGCCCTGCAAAGGGATGTGATGTACTGTCAGGGTACCATGTGTGTTGATGATGAGTTTGGCTACCAAGGCAGCATGGACAGCTTTTACTCTTGGCAGCTATGTTACAATGGCTGCAACACATCTTCCAGTGTGCACAAAGAGTTTGGCTACTAGAGTACAACTTAGCATGGATTCAGAGAGGCAGACTTTGTACCAATACAGGCATGGCCGCTCAACAGAAGGATTTGTATGTGTTCATCAGCTCAGCAAATGTTAAGGCAAGTTCCCTTTGGTCCTGATGGTAAGAGAGTTGAGTTGACGCGAGTTGCGAAGGCACTCAAGAGAATACCTACCTTACCCTTTGGCTGAAAAGTGCAGAGAGATGCATGTGCAGCCCATGCAGCATGGCTTGTACACTGTTAACAATGTCTTTATGTGCCAAGAGTCAATAAAGGAGGTAGTAGAGCATGGTAGAAAATATGTACCACTGGTTGAGAACTGTTGAGCGTGACCTTGGCATTGCAAAGTTGAACC